GTTTGATTACATTTAGCAAGCCAGGGAGCCCCTTCTCTTCGAAGACAAACTGCTGCCAGAGACAGATTTACCACTGACCAGCAGTGTTTTTATGCAAATGTGCCTGAGTGAGTGCAGTAACCCCAAGTTATAATAGAGTCATTCAATCTCTTGCCAGGACAGCAATATTTATACATTGCAAAGATAAATTGGATATCAAAACCAGTTCCATTACAGAGGGAAAGTTTGCTATGTAAATCAGTGTTTCTAATCACACCGTGCTGCTTCCCACCCCCTACCCCATTTTGCTTTCCTTGCTTTATCTTCACAGATGAATTCCAAATGTGTTTTTCTCTTGTGTGTTCACTTTGAATATCGAAGCGTCCAGCTAATGCCAAGCTAATGGATAACGTAAACTCCTCACTAGAAAACCTTAAAGTTTCCAAGGGTGTTTCTTCATGCCTTGGGGAAGTGCTATAAAGGGCTTATGTTCACGTATAGTGTTTTGTCTGCTGCTTGTGCGAGTTTCTGTTGGGACTTCTCTTTCTCCTGCTGCCTGATGGGAAGAAACGGGCGGTCATCTCCCTAGTGACTTTATCTCCCCATCAGGAATGAGTGGAAGGGGTCAGATGCCCCTCTCTGTGCTGGTCACCATCTGCTGACAGCAGCGCTCCCCCGGGAGGGCCGGCTTTGTTTACTGACGGGGCTAATAGGAGGAGACACGTGAAGTACTTTGGTTTGTGGAAGAGGGCAGGAGAGCCAGGGTGCTGTGAAAACATTCCCACACACTCTAATGGCTCATTCGCACAGAAAACAAGTGAGAGCCTTCAGCTCTTTCACAGAGCTCAAAGTAGAACAAACCGACTGAAGAACCCCAAGGCACCAGTCAAAAAACACTTTCCTAATGCACTAATGCCGAGATGCTCTCCATGATAGCTTACCTGTGAGACTTCAGCCCTCATTTAGGCAGATAAATGACCTGGCTTGATGGAGTCTGGTAGTTGCTGTTGTTTGCCATTAGCTGCTAAGTTATTTTTTTAAACCTGGCACTCAGTTTCCTAAACTTAAGCCTCCTAAAACTGGTTATAATGGGTGAAGTAGTCATTGGAGAGTTCTATCAGCACAGTCACCAATTGATTATTTTCTCATTAGGAAAAAAATTGTGGAACACAGAAGAAATACAACATGACTAAAAAGAGATACATGTTTTTGTTCTGTAGTTGGTAGAGACACAGACAGGCGCACACACGAATGTGTAACTTCAGAATATAATTTGAGGGTTGAAAAGTGATTTTCTGAATTAGGTCTTAAACACAGTCAGAATACATGTCATGGAAAAGTCCACGTTATAAGCTGTTTTAGGTGGTGAATGATGTTTAGTGAACAGCAGCATTCATTATTCTGGTCTATAGATGATAAGATGTATAAGAAGAAAACACCAACAGTGATATTAGGTCAACCCACAAGTTCGTGTAGCTCAGTATCTGATCTCTAACACCAACCTGTGTTGATGATTAGAAGTAAAGCATAAAGAGAGCAAACTCATATTAATTCTTCCATTAAGATAACCGACCAAATATGTACCAATTTGTGATTTAGGGAATTTTGAAGACTAGTAAAACGTCATGGTATAACAAAGTATTATGTAAAAAGGATTTCCAGCTTGTTCTAGAAGGGCTATGAAACTCCTTAGTTCTTGCATTTTGAGAAATATTTACAGTACTGCCTTCACCTTCTCTGTGACACTGGTTATTTTCACATCTTTCCTCCATAAATGTCTTTATTTCCTGAAGGGTCCTACTGTATAATTTATTGTCATACAGGAGCTGCTCCATGTTTGTTGCTCTGTCATTTCCAGTTATTTTATATCTTCCTGTTCATTGCTGAGTAGACTGGAACTACATTCCATTGGTATATCCATTGGTATGGATATACCAATCATAATAATTGATGATATTTGATCACTATTGAGCATTTTCATAGAAGTAGCCACAGTAACACCATAATTTTGATTGCTCCAGGACAGTATTAATTGTAGCTCAGCAAAATAAATATGCATGTATATATAGACATATACACACAGACACACACCCCCATATTTATTTTCAAATGTAATAGATATGCATATAACACTCTACCTGTCTGTAGTTAGCTCTGTTATATGTACTAAGCTCTGTTTCCCCTCATGGGCATTAAGTTACAGTATTGAATTTTGGGGCTTTGTATAGCCCCATTACTCAGAACTGTAAAATTCCTAAACTTTTTTTATAATTGGCATTGTCTTTACTTCATCGAATCCTCAGTAACTCACTATCTACTTCTATTTCCAGATTATTTAGGGGTCTATGTTGAGCAGTACAGAGGCCAGCACAGATCTTTCTGAGAAATCAGTGATAACCTTCTACCAGAATGAAGAATGACTTCCCCTTTCCTATCTTTTAATTTAATAGAAGACCTGATCTCTTTTAATAGAGCTTAGTCTCTTTCAGAGTCTTTGGTGGGGACCTTTTAAGAACAAATGTAATCCATTCATTGATGTCTTGACCCTTTATATTCAACCAGTGTACCTATAGTCGTGTAACATCTTTGAAGAATGGGACTAAAATACATACACTCCCTTTTCCACTTTTTCTCACTCTGAGTTCTTATCAAAGTCAATATAGCTCGAGGATTTTTTTTAAACGGGTATGACTATGCAAAAGCATCACGTCAAATATATTAGCAAGGGCAGGAACACGAACTAACCCTAAGTTGATAATTGCATGTTACATTTGCTTTAGTTTTTACTGCTTCTCAAGGAAGGTTACGTCTAATTTAAGCTTGATTCTAAAAATATTCATATTTGGCCTAAAATAACCCCACTTTGGGAATGTGCCACTGCAAATGTGAAGTTTTTGAAAAGGCTTCACTTTTCTGGTAGATCAGAGTATTGTTCGATTCCGTCTTCCAATGTTTAACATATCACATTTTTTGAGATGTGTGGTATAGATCAAAGGGCAGGATTTGGCCCTTGGTTACCTGCTGTTACTGGCACTAATCTCACAGCTATTGAAAAATGATGCATCAAATTTATATCACTGCAAATGTCACTATTCTGAATCTTGCATATGTTTCCTGAGCTGTCAGTAATAAAAATCTGTTCTTAATTATTCTCCCATTTGAAAAATAATAATTTTCTAGTAACCCAGTGAATAGGAATTTGATGTTTTCTGTGGCTGGAACCATTTTAATGATTTAATACATCTATAAAATTCTGTGTGCTTTTATAATATAATAGCTTTTGAAAATAGAGTAGGACTTTCCCATTTCAATCCCTATGGCTATCAAGAACAGCAGAATTTGTTTAAATCTGAGTTAAGTTTAAAAATGAGTAACTTAACAAAAATATTTTAAGAGTAAAATAATTCAGCATAAAGCCAGACATACAAAATTGGGTTTACATGTGTTACATGTTAAATGTATAGTTAATATTAATCATATTGTATGTTTTAATATTTTGTACATATTATTGTTTTTCCCTAAAAGAAGAGAATAGGGTTTATTTTGGGGTTGTTAATATTATATGGAACTGACTTCACTGTGATGAGAAAATTAAAATAGCAAAGATTATTAAGAAAGTATAAGAAGAAAAATGAAGGCTTTGGATAGTATCAGATTTTTCTGGTTGGAAGCAGAATAATCCATTTGGATAAGTCCTATTTGCTTTTAATACTTTTTTCCCCCCTATCACAGGACTTCTTTCAGTTAATTACCTTCATTCAAAGCCCAAAGAAGTGAACAGAAAAGACTCTCTTTGAAACTTTGGACTAGGCTCATAGATATGATAATTAGCATGAAATTCTACCTTCATTAAAGGTTGAAGGGTTTACAATATACAAAGAGTAATGTGCTCTCCTTTCTTTGTTTTTTCAATGTGATGATAGACTCTAACATTTTAGCTCATTGTTGTGCTTCACCAAAGTGTAGCTTTTGGAAACATGGATATTAACAGCCAATCTATAAAACACATATAATATACAGCTAAAAAAAAAAAAAATGTTTCTTTTTCTTGTCCATTTGGTCTTGGCAACATGTGTTTAAATGAGAGCATATAAAACATTTCATACAAAACACCCTAGCTGAGTCTGGATAATATTTCATTACCTTGTTTGGTTGCTTCTCAAACCAGACTGCTATATTACTCTATAGGGTTCTGGTTGTATCTCTGTTTGTATCTGAAATTCTAGACAGAATTTGCCCATGCTCCTTGAATTCAAGCAAACTAATATTTATTTTGCCAGAAACATTATTTATTTAATTTTATTTTTGCTTTACATTTAATGCCAAATGGTATGTAATCAAAAAGCAGTGAGAAACAAAAATATATAACTGGGTGCAAACAAGCACTACAAAGTTCAGGAAAGCTAGATGAGTAGTTTCTGATATAAGGGTTGTTTTCTGCCCTTTTTGCATTGAATCTATGCACTAATTAAGACAAAGATCCAATGCAAAAAATATGATGTGGTCTTATAATTAAATACTATAATAATGCATGCACACAAAGGCTGTGTTAGAGTTGTACACATCATCTGAATAGTATTGTGTAGAAAAGAATCCAATAGGGTCTGGCACACTGACTTCACCAGATTTTAAATGTCTATTGAAACAATGGACTGTATAGATTTCTAAACTGCAAACATCTCATTCTATGAATGTCAGATAACCCAAATGAAGGAGTCTCTCCTAGTTTCTCATATAATAAGATTATTTTTTCATTATTTATCTATTAAAATAAACCATTGATATTATTATTGTATGTTAGAATACTTTTGGTCAGGATGTTTTAGCATGGTGTGACAACAGGCCCAGATTTGTCCAACCTTAAAGCTGCAACCACTTCTTAGGAATCACCATTTTTGCCAGTTCTGGTCTCCACATCTTTTATTATCAGCTGGTCTTCTGCTGATAATTCCTGCTAGTCAGGATGACCCCTGTCAAAATCCTGTCCAGACAAAATGTGGGTGTTTTTTCAACTTTTGCAGATCTAAGCGACCAGCTTATGGAAGTGGTTGGTCTGGAAGGAGCCATGGAGATGGGACAGATATACACAGGTCTGAAAAGTGCTGGAAGACGGCTTGCCCAGTGCTCGTCTGTCGTCATCAGGTATCAGCAGCTTTCATTTGCACTGCACTTTTGTAGAAAAACTAATAGTCATAATTACTGTACTTATTTGTTGTGAAAATGTCATTTTTGTATATGAAATGCATCTATTCCATCCATATACTATGCCCATACATCTTCCTTTCTTTAAGTGTGTCAGAAAACTAGGAAAAGGGTGTTTACATTCAGTCTCCACGTATTGTTTCATCCTTTGAAGAACTATTTTTAACCATTTGGAGCAGAAAGAGTAAGGCAGGAACATTTTGGGTTTTATTATTGACATACACTCTGCACAATTTTGAGCAAAAAGTCATTTAACATAACTTTGACACATTTTAACCCATTTATAATGCATACCTCACCAGGGAATAGTAGCATGTAATTAGTATTTGTAAAGCACTTTTTTTGATCTGTAGAAGTCAAAGTACTCTGTTTTTAATTTATTTGTTGTTTACTGAACGGTGACAAGTTCATTATTAATAAATGTGTTGGTATGTGTAAGCTGCTAATAGGAGATCACACTAATTTAGTTGTGTTTCATAATTTACTGTGCTAAAAGTGATCAGAACATTCACAATAGAGGAAGCTTGGATTAGGACTTCAGGCGAAAATAATTATTCTAACTTTTGGATTAGGTAAGGACTGTAAAAGAGAAAGAAGGTCAACTCTTCAGTGGTGAAGAATTTCTCAGGAAGAGTTTTCCAATATCTTAAAATCTTAACCTATACAATTATAAGCCCCAAAAACATAAAATGAGCATAAAACAGAAAAGCAGCAATAAAAACTTTAAGAAAATAAAGTAGAATTTGCCACAGAACCTAGCATATTTTTGAGACTCTCCTTAAGGAGTGGGTGATGTTGACTTCAAAACTACCCTCTCTTGTGGATGAGGAACAGAAATAGATCACAGAGAAGTTCCAACCTTCTCTGGATACCAAGAGATAATTTTTATAATCCCACATCAGGAGGACCACAACTGCAAAAGAATCAGAACCCTTCCAAACCTATGAAGTGAGATCTCATTGAACATTCTTCCCTTCTTCCACATATGGCCGTAGATGACAGTGGTGCATCCTTTGAACTGTTTTCAATAATGTCCAAGCTGGAATTTCCATTGACCAATATGAGCACTCCATTGACTCATTTTACTAGATTTATCTACTCCATGTTATTTCCAATAGTCTCATATGCAAACTATTATCATACAGAAGTATATGGTTGTAAAACACCCCAAAAGATCATCTTTTTTCTCCCCCCTTCCTTCATTTTTCTATTCTTAATGCGGTACCCAAAACTAGACATAGAGGCTGCAGCTTTATGTTAAAATCAGTGCCCCTTTGCTGACAATTTAAACTTAAAACATGGTATGTTAAAGCCTCTGAATATACAGTACAGCTGTCGTATTATGTGAGTGCTCTGTCTAACCCAGAGTTAGACACGGCGTAACATCTTTTACAGTTCTAATAAATGGTGATGATAGAGCTAAAATTTATTTCTTATTTCCTTTGTAGTAGTCAGTCTAAATTATAAAAAATAGCAGAGGTTCCTTTGTCTTTTCAGTTAATAAGGTTTATTCTTGAACTTCTGGAATAATTCACTCTATTTCACAAATTGCAGACTATTCTCCCATAGAGAGTTGCATATTACTACCAAGATGTGCAAATGTTTGCAATGGTTTTGCTTTGTGTGTTGAAAATCAAACTAAGCCTGCTAAGTAACTAAATTACTTTCATAAGCATGTTGGGTCATACTGGAGAAATTTAAGGATTTCCATACATGGAAATTTAAGGGTAAATCAGGATTATATGTATGTGCTATCACTTCTATTTCTCCTTGATAAATACTTTTATCAGTTTTGTCTAGTTACTTTTACTTATACTTTGAAATATATCACCTTAGGACCAGCAAGTCTCTGCCTATGCAGATAGATGGGGAACCTTGGATGCAAACCCCTTGCACGGTAAGAATACTGGGAATACTGGGGATAACGAGATACTTGGGGAAGAGAGCTGAACAAAAACTTTAGGAACTTGTTAAATGAGTAACAAAAAGTATTGATTGATTTATTTACTTTCGCTTCTTTAATGACAGAGAATTTTTTTGGTTTAAAAGGCCACCATTGTCATCAGCATTAACTCAATTTACTTAAGTAACATCTTCACACACTGTTACTGTATAGTTCAACACCCATTATATATCCAAGTTATGATGCCTGCTTTTTCCCACAGGTTAGGATGGAATAAAAAGGCATTTATTTGAAAAGTTTAGAAAATATTCAAAGGGCGCAGTCCCAACATCCCTTTACCCATTGTGATCAATAGCCTTTGCTGCTGAGGAAGGGCTGGTGTTAGTTGTGATGCAAAAATGCATAAAGTAACAAATTATTCTTTAAAAAATCAGGAGGATTTTCCATTGTGCTTTTGAGAGTTCATATCAACGAGGTTTTATTTAAAACTGAAGTCTTGACTGTGCTGATTGAATTATACAATAGAAATATTATTATAAAAAGCCTTACATTTTAAAGGAGAAATTAAGGAAATTACTTAGTCTCTTTTTTCAGTGTGCATGCATATGAAGTGAGGACAGGTAAATAGCAATTGGGATAGGATAGGATAGGATAGGATAGGAGCATACTTGGAGGAGACTCTTCAAGTAGCTGTTTACAGACAACACGAGAGAGGTGTAACTCTAAGAACTTTCCATGTCCATTTCTCATCTCAATTATAGAGGCTAACTGAGAAGTTGGAGAAGATGTTGAAGAAATTTAAGCTCTTCGTTGTTGAATAGAGTCATAGAAACATAATTTGATGTAAAATTTTACTCATTTTGTTTCCCTAAAGAGGACCTGTGGTTTCAAATAGATGAATTGCTGTATCCTTGCAGCTTGTAAGTATGACAGAACAGTAATGTGACAAGGAAGAAATCCCACTACAGATGGGAGCAATTATCCAAACCATGGTACTAGATCACTTTCATGAACTTTACTTCTGTAGCAAAATTAAGGGCTACATAAAAAAGTAAAAGGGAGCACCTTCAGCAAGGTGCTAACAGGTGTGGCAGCTGATAATGTATGGGTTAGGATGAAATAAAAGGGTTGTGATAGTTCATGTTTGCCAGATACACCATAGTGCACAGCTGAACAGCGGGGAGAGTGCCTGAGCTCTAATTCTCTAGGGTAAGTGCTCAGATGCTGCAGTGAGTGGAGAACTATGTGAACACACAGTGTGAAGGCAGAACAGTGGGGATTTTATGAGATTTATTCCAGGAAACCTTTTGGAGTTAAGAGATATCATTATCTTTGCCTCTTCCACAGCGATGGCTCAGTGCAGATCAACAGTACTGAACCCAGCAGTTACTTGTTCAAGAAAAAGACATGTAATTTTTCAGTTGCCAGATTACAGAAGAGAATTTATGGAAGGATGCTGGCAATAACATGTGCTTTTTTTTTTGTCTTGATTGCTTGCTCTGTTCAAAATCCCTGCTATCTGATTGATAATGCTAGGAGAAACTGCCTGCACGATTGAGGACAAACCTGGAAAAAAGAGACAGTTCGTACATTTCAATTACTGCCTTGAGGAAACAGTAAATTATTACTGATAATTACTGCTGTCCAGTTGAAGTACCATTTCAAAGGGGATAGAAATGACATATATTTTTCTGTGGAACCCATCCTTTTTGCTGTACCACTGCTAAGAGAATGTACTTTGAGTTACTTAAGAAAACCATGCTGCTGAATGTATTTATTTCCTCTGAGAAGAAAATACATGAACTATTTGTCTAGATGACTGTACCTCTAGGAATATAGAGATAGAATTACTATTTTCTGTTATATTATTCATTTTTCAATAAATGTTTTTTTTCTGCTAGGAAGCTTAATGTGTTTATTGCAATCATTCTTTGCATTATTTTACATCTGCCCCGCTCTGTTTTATACATCTTACAACAGAAAAAACATGTATAGTTCAACGTCTCCTCTCCCCACTTATTCTAATTACACTGGAGTTTCTCCTTGAAGTTCTCTGCAGAATATCTAGGAATTCCTCCTTAGATGATGACAAAGGTGGATGTTAGCTTTCTCTCAACTGAAGTTCAATATTGGATTCCTAAGTTTGTGCCTCTGAGAGGTCTTTATTTGGAAGCCAAAATGTATTTGATTACGTAAGTATTGGGATGATATCTCAGCGATGTTTATCCAAAACTAAAGTCTGAAAAAAAAACATAAAATCAAAATAAATTCTTATGTGTAGCCAACTATATAACCAATTATTTCAACATACAAGAGCTCAGATTTCAGAAAAAAAAAAAATAAAAACAAACAAAAAAAGAAGAGACCAGTATAAAAATCATGAGGTTTTGTCTTCTCTAGTTTTCTCCCCCAAATTACCTGAAAGCCAGTTTTTAAATGGAAAAAAATTGTTATGATGAGATAAAGAAATCCATGAGTTTAGTTCCTTAGGAAACAAATGAAAACTTGGTTTTCATTTTATTTCCCCTCTTAGGAAGTTTCTTTCCCTGGCTCTTACAAGGAACTGAGGACCGTGTGTAAAGATGCTGTCACTCCTACGTCACGTCTCAAGACGTGGGGGACATTCCCATGCCACCTCTGCATTCACATTAGGAGATGAGGGAAGGCACTTATTAATTTACTAGCTCTATGGCTTTAAGGGGGGAAGCTACTGTATATCCACACAGTATGGGCCTGCTTGGATATACCATCTCCCTAGTTCTAGAGGACAGACCCCTGCACCTTGTTCTATTGCACAGATCACGTACCTCCGTTAGACACAGCAGCTGAGCCTCCAAAAAAAAAAAAAAAAAAACAACAAAAAAAGAAGAGACCAGTGTAAAAATCATGAGGTTTTGTCTTCTCTAGAGACAAACCTGCAGTTTTCTCCCCAAGATTACCTGAAAGCCAGTTTTTAAATGGAAAATAAAAACAAACAAAAAAAGAAGAGACCAGTATAAAAATCATGAGGTTTTGTCTTCTCTAGTTTTCTCCCCCAAATTACCTGAAAGCCAGTTTTTAAATGGAAAAAAAATTGTTATGATGAGATAAAGAAATCCATGAGTTTAGTTCCTTAGGAAACAAATGAAAACTTGGTTTTCATTTTATTTCCCCTCTTAGGAAGTTTCTTTCCCTGGCTCTTACAAGGAACTGAGGACCGTGTGTAAAGATGCTGTCACTCCTACGTCACGTCTCAAGACGTGGGGGACATTCCCATGCCACCTCTGCATTCACATTAGGAGATGAGGGAAGGCACTTATTAATTTACTAGCTCTATGGCTTTAAGGGGGGAAGCTACTGTATATCCACACAGTATGGGCCTGCTTGGATATACCATCTCCCTAGTTCTAGAGGACAGACCCCTGCACCTTGTTCTATTGCACAGATCACGTACCTCCGTTAGACACAGCAGCTGAGCCTCGGGGTTTTGATTCTTCTGTGCTCCAGCCAGAAAGCTATCATTACAAAAAAAGACTGCCGTCTCTCCCCCCTCCAACTGTCCTTTAGAAATTTGAAATAACACGTTTTACTTTGGTATGATAATCTCAGGAACTCCAGTGTCATCTAAGTTCAGTAGTTTTAAGGACTGACCTATAAATATTACAGAGACCAAGTGAGAAAGAAATTCATACAGTCAGCGGGTATTGAATCAACCCTGGCTCAAGGTGCAAGTGGTTAAGCTCAGAAGTCCTTTTCTGTTTCTGCATCAGATTTTGAAATAATTGAGAGTATTTTGTGAATGATTTTTCAAGAAATCAGGTTAAACCTGACCAAAATTCTCCTGCTATTCCATTGTGCATATTAAGCAAAACAAGTTCTGCATCAAGTCCCCATTATGTAGGGGATGCAGGCTGCACACGCAGGCTTGGAAGTCTGTTTCCTATTGAAGGAATCAACAAGTTTATCTTTGCTACTTCTCCTTTCTGACCGGAAAAAAACTTTTATACAAATAGCACAAGTGCTGACATCTGTCCCTTCTCATGCCTGGAGAGGCTGTGTTTCCCCAAAAGTGTGGAGTCTGAGAATATATTGTAGGATGCGACAGATAATGCAGTGATCTGTGATTTTTCACTCCTGTGATCAGTTTTAGTACTAAAGAAATCATTGTGTGCTTCTTTTAAACATGATCTTCTCTTGCTCATGCACCTAGCATCCCTAGAATTAGTGCTAAAGAAATCGTTGTGTGCTTCTTTTAAACATGATTTTCTCTTGCTCATGCACCTAGCATCCCTAGATGAGAGCAGGAACACGTTCCTGTAGGTCCTGTGCGTCCTTAAAAATGTGAGTGGCTTGGTCTAAAAATCTGTCATCCAGAATTTTTTGGTATGTTGAAGATGTTCAGACTGCAGCGTCTGACAAAGTCACTCCGTTCTGGTATAATAAGATGCAGAATCTGAGCATCAAATTGTATTGTTTTCCCTGTTTTTTATAGAGGAGTCTTTGGGAGAAGGAAAGATGATAATGTTAATGTTATGTTAAACATCTCCTCTGATTAGCTGAGGAGGAAATTCTATCAGAGCTCTCCCAGACAAATATAGCAACATGAAAGATATCTATGGTTTCACCTGATCTCCAAACAGGTCATTAATAGCAATGAAACTTCAAAGACTCTCAAGTTAATTCAATAAACTTCTAGCTTTAGCCATCAGGATTTTTTTTAAGAAAAGTAATCTTTCAATTTAGCTACATAAATTATTAGCATTGTTTTGAAAAAATCCATAAGAATATTCCATCTTAATTAGAAATAGCTGTGATTTCGGTTCTTTCATCTATTCCTGACTTGCTTGGCATCGTATCTGACAAAGTGTCAAGCTGCTAGCAACATTAGATTAAAAGTAGAAGACAGAAATGTCTATAGAAGATGCAAGAACATTGCCTAAATGAAGGAGCAAAAATGAAAATCCATAGTCAGAGCCCACCTAATGGATCACCAGAAATACAGTTTCATAGACAAC